TTTAAAGGATTGAAAAAAAGTTATTTTGTATTCAATTAGGATTTTAAAAGAGTATTTTAGAATCCATTCAAATTCGTAGGTATTCAATAAATATTTTAAACAATGGAAAAATAATCTTGAGGTATTCAAAAATCTAACCATTTTAATGAATTTTCTATTGTGTAGATTTCCTGAAACTTTTTTAGTGAGAAATATAAATAGAATGTCTCTTTCACAATCTTACCATAATCCCTAGAATTTCTTGAGATTTATCTATTGTATTGTTTTCTTCTTCCTTTGGCAGGTTGACCAGCTCAAAATCGAGTTCCGATTTTACCATAGGAGCTTCGTCAAAACTCAAAACTAACATATTTTTTAGCGATTTTATCACAAAATAACCCAGAAACAACAAACCATCGAGATTTTTTAAACTTTCATGTAATAAAATCCAGAAATCCAGATTTGAAATTTTCTTAGAATATTCAATTAAAACATGCATACGATATATGTTTAGAAAACTCTCATCACGTAGAACAAAAACCCCACACCAAGATTTTCAAGATCAATTGCAAAAAATTTCAAACAAAATTTTGTCATGAACTTTAAGTTCTATATTTGAATTATTTTAATAATTAAAAAAAATTGGATCTTATAATCATGTATGCATAGCTCAGATACCAAATGAAGAAGATAATTTTCAATCCATTGGTCAAACCCAAGAGCATGAACGAGAAAATGTTAATGCGTAGAAGACTAATATAACTTTAGATATGTGAACAACCGTTACTTAGTAATTTTGAATGTTTGTTAGAAATTATATTATATTTTACTGATTGAGAAAATTATGTTAGGTTTTACTTTTTTTATTAATTTCATTGCATTTCTTTGTTATTGTTTTATTGATTCTTATAATTTTGAATGTTTGTTAAAAATTTATATGATTTTTTAAAATCGTATAAAACTGTATTGTCCTTTCAAATCTTATAAATTTTATTAAAATCCTTTAAAATTCAATCATATGAAATCTTGATTGTAAAAAAAGTCTTTAAAATTCTTCTAATTTTAAATAGTCTTTGAAAATCCTTCTAATTTTATAGTCTTTTAAAATCTATAAGATTTTTTATCTCAAAAAAAGTCTTTTAAAATTTTAATCCAATACATCTCCCCTTAGTAAAGAGAGAGAGTATGATTTGAGTTTTTTTTAATCTTTTTTAATTTCTCTCGTTTTTTGAATAACTCCACAATGCTATTAAAGTAGAATAAAAGACATTAACTTTCCAAAGGTTTTCTTATACCAAAATTTCTCATAAATTATGATTTAACATTCATACAACCGTTACAGATTAATTTTGATGAGTTTTGAATGGTTTTATTCATTTTAATTGGAATGAAAATAATATGCCATATGATTTGGTAAAAAAATGTACTTACAATGATGGAAAAAATATGTATCATTTAAAAAGATGTAAAGTTAAGTCATTTTAAGTAAGAGAAAGAGATAGATAAAGGAAGAGAGAGTGGACACAAAAATATAAAGGTGTGGGTTCTATTTCTTTGTGAGAGTGAAATAATACAAGTTATATCATTTAAAAAGACAAACACTTTTTCATAAAATTATTTGATTTAATATGATATGATACAGTTGGTTATATATATGGGTTCATTTAATCTTATGTTGAAGGAGAGATCTTCTCTCATGTTGTGACACATATATGGTGGGACCCGCCATTTAAAAAAAAAAGAAAAATGAATGTCACGATTTTCGATGAGTGTGTAGGAGATAAAACTACTCTTATGCAACATAAGAGTAGTTTTTCCCTATATATATATATATATATATATATATAATTCTTAGTGGGCTAGTATTTTTTATTCATAATATTTAAAACTAAACTTATATAACTGGTACAGATCTCAAACCAGAGAAAGCATGGTTCAAGTTTTTTCTGGGGAATATAGTACCGTTAATATTACACACAAGGACGTTTTTCTGATGTTGATTATTGCGTCTGTACGTGCGTTGATTCTGAGGCTTGTTCTTTCAAAACTGCATGGGCTCAACTTGTTTTTTTTTTAATCATATAATATTAAAATTAAATGTCTTGATTTTTTATTTTTACTTTTTTGGATCTTTCGATTGGAACTAAGGTGCAGTTTAAACTTTAAAACACAACTGCTGCTGCTAATTCCTTTTTTTTTTTTTTTAGGATTGCAATTACAAATAATTTCAATCATAAAAACTATCCAATTTTATTGTATTTATAATTTATGAAAATCGATAATTAAATGACCGTACCGGATCCTCTTCCGTGTTGTCTTTGTGCTCATGCCCGTGGCTTCAATTTTCACCAATCGTGCCAATTCAATTAGGGGGCTGGTTTCTTTCGAAGAAAAGTCGTTCTCTTGTTGAATAGTTGTTTTTTTTGTTTCTTCGGTCCATTATGCTACAATGCGACTCATGCGAGCCAAACACCATGTGACGGCAATAGTGGTAGATATGAAAACAATCTTGTTATCTCATATGGTTTTTAATCATTCTATTTTTAGGGTTTTCCTACGCAATTATAAGCCTTTTAATTGTCTCTTTCATGCATTTAGCTATTGACAAGAAAAATATTAAATGGAACACTTCTCTGTCTGTTTGTTGGCCGTGGAAAAGGAAAAGGTGGGATTGAAGGGACATAGGCCTGCTGGCAAGAAAGAAAAAAATAAAAATAAAAAAAGAGAAAAAGAAAAACTTACAATGTGCATAATAATTGCAGTAGAAACAAACTAATTCAGGTGCACACAACAAGTGGCCCTTTGTTTTCCTCAAACGCTGTTTGGCGACCCGTTACTCACGAGTCCCACCATTTTGTCCCAAAGCCTCTTTCCATGTGACTTTGTTTACGAGGTTAGAAAGTAAATTACTTGTACAAAAAAGAAACAAAGTAAATTTAAATCTTTTTTGTAAACTAAATAATGCATTTAGACTATTAAAATTGAGAAATAATTTAATTTTCTAAACATTTATAGATTTTATTGCTTTTGTTTTATATATTCTATTGGATTTAGTAAGATTGAGTACGAATTGATTCAAATTTAAACTTAATACATGAACTGAATATTTATCTTAGCTAAATAATTAATTTAAAAAATTAAATTAAATCAATTTATTTTTTAGTAAGTTATAAATATGAAATTTAATTTATAAATCAATTCAATTTTTTATAACGGATTCTGAAATAAATAATATATTTTTTAAATCAAATCAAATTTTTTTCTATTTTAAAATATTCCGAATAGAATGATGATGTTTTGCTATTTCTTTTTCTTTTTGACATTTGGTGGATGCACAGATGATTCAGGATCGTTGATTTTGCAGCCAGTTGCTATTAAAAACATTATTCACAATAAAAATAACATAATATATGATGCATGCATGAGCATTATTATTCTTGTTCATGCCGTATTGTAAGTTGTCATAACAAGCACAAGGGGTTCGTACATAACGTTAGAAGCATAGAAAACTTCGGATATTCCATTTTGTGACATTTATTATTTCAATCACTTTGGAATTTTTAAAGGCTGTACTGTTTTTCTACAAGGATGAATTGTATATTTGAGCAACCAAATGGGTACATATAGCTAAAAGGCAATTAAAAAATACATCCACTTGAGAGAGAGATGAAAACTCCGTTTGGAAGAGTTGAAGAAGAAAGAACCGGGTGAAAGAAAGCACAAAGATGACGAAGTACATGAAGAATAAAATACCCACCAGTGGTGGCACATGCCGTTTCAAGAAATTTGGAATTCCTTTAATTGCTTGAATTGAACCCATACTTTCCCCATCTCCCACCTCTCTCTATTAACGATAGAACAAGAAAATTAAATTAAAGAGAAAGAAAAGATGCGTTGGTGGAACCTGCCAATGCAGAGGTACATGGTAGACTTTTAGGTTCACGTATTCACACCTCATTAAAGCAAAGTTAAACTGTGAGATAAATTGGCAAACCCAAAGATTTAAAAAGCCCTTGGCCATCGCATGCGCCTCCCAGCAAGTATCCATTATTATTTGGTTAAGTTTCACCTAAAATTGTACTGGCAAGAAATTTAGCAACATAGGATGTATCATATTTAGTCATTTTATTTACTATTTATACCACAGAATTTATTTTTCTAATTCAAATGTGGAATAGGTTTATAGAGAGAGAGAGAGAGAGACAATAAATAAAGTCCATAAATAGTTTATCAAAATAAAATACTTTCCATATGAAATTTTCTGTAAGGAAATTATTATAAATGCTTCACAACTAATTATGATTAAAAAAGAAAAATAAATAATAAATCAATAAAACGATAAAAGGTAATTTTTTATTTTCTATATTCTAACAAATTATTTTACAAATACACATTCAAACCCTTTAACATTTTTTCACCCCATATGTAAGCCGCTCGCGTGTGGGCCTTGCATATTATTACTACAAAAACCAGTATATAATCCTCTATTTCTCCAAATTAAATAGTGTCGTGTCACAACAGGAAAAAAGAAAAAGAAAAAGAAAAACAATATTTAGTAGCATTATTATTATTATTATTATTTACTATGTTTGGGGACAAAAAATCAGAAATATTTAAGACACAGATCTCACCTCCCCCATTTGATAAAGGCCAAAAAGTGGACCCCTTTGCCTCTTTCTCATTAGGGAATTACCAGTAACAATATTATTAATAAATTAATAATTACTATTACTCATAGTATTTTCATTTTTGAAATCTAAATATTAAATGTAATTTTATGATTCCATTCAAGTATGGGTTTTATTAATGTTATGTAACATAATGTAAGTGTTGTTTTCAACTCTCATATCAAAAGAGAGAGAAAATAAAATGATAGAAAAAAAAAATATATGAACCCCACTTCTTTAATATGTGTAAAAAAAAAAAATTATATTATGTTAAATGTTAAATATAAGCTCCTTCAACTATATATTTGTCTGAAGGAGAAAAGCTGTCTCTCCTCTCTTTCGAGGTAAGGATTCTTACCCTCTCTCTCTCTCCCCCTCATCTAATCAAATGTATTGAGTTGTCTCGTAAATTAAAGATTACTTTTGTTTATTTATTTATTTTAATTTCCCTATCTGATTTTGATATCCTCCTCCACCACCCAACAGGGCCTCCATTCTCTTCTCTCCCCCTTTTTTTTTTTTTTTTTCACACTGTGTTCTTGGCTTTCTTTGTTTTCTCCCCAGGAGGAAAGGGAACATTAAATCGAATAAAAAAGCACCCCAACCAACATGGGTGCTTTCGTTCTCTATTTATTCTGAGTCACTCAACCTGTGATTCTCCAAATAGATCGGCTTTTTTCGTTTCATTTCGTAAGTTTCTTTCACTTAACCTACTTTTCATTTTTCTGGTTTGATCACTCGGTTATTTGCTGCGATTCACAAATTTATTGATGTTTTTATTTTATTTATTTTGGATGGGATTTCAAAGGAGGAGGGTTGGGTTGTTGAACTCTACTGGTTTTTTTGTTGGTTCCTGAAACGCTTTAATTCAACTTGGTTTTGTGTCGATGGAATCCAATTTGGTGTTTTCAATATTCGAGCTGATCTTTGTAAAAAAATATCATTTCATCCCCCCCACCATTTTATCCATTTACCTTCTGTGTAAAGGTGCTGACTTTATTGTTGAAGTGCCGTTTCTTTATGTAGGTGGTGTGAAAAATTTTGCGACTCAATCAATTGGCAATGCTGCATTAGTGGGATTTGTACTGCAAGATTCTTTAGTCGATGAAGGAGGTTTGAGGGTTGATGCTTGTGATTTGGGAAAGTTGCGTTCCTGTTCTACATGCTAACTCCCAAGGTTTGGGCATAGGAAGCATGCTTAACCTTATCTTCAGTTCAACATTGGCTTTATTAATAGTGATGAATTTCATGTGTTAAACAATGTTTATTTCATAATTTTGTTGCATAATCATAGAATTTGTGTGTTGAAAACGCGTAAGCTACCTTATGCGGGGATACTTTTGTTGATATATGATGTTGTACTGAAGCATATACGGATTACATCTTTCGTGGATGAGTATTCCATCTTTAGATTGCTTTGCCCTTCCTGCTGTAGTTTCAGCTTTCAACAGATACTGCCAGATGAGCCTTGAGATTGATAGAAGTTTTATATGTCCAAATCGTGGATCTTAGCTACTTGTATTAGTTGCATTCATGTAATCATCATGATACTCAATTTCAATGCTAGTGTACAAAAAGAATCAATATAAAACTCAAGTACTCTTGTTACTACGACAAAAGGTCTACAGAAATAATACACATATGACTGAGATGCATTTTAGAGAGAATGAGAACATTGGGGGAGGGGGGGGGGATAATTGTTGCTTTTAGAAGCTTAAATTAGAGTTTGAGTGAGATGATACATTTTGAAATAATTAATTTAAACTAGGTTACAGGTGGATGTGCATAATTGGATCAAAGCCATACTAAGAAACATTTCAAGTGGTGTACATCTCACAACAGCCAGGCATCGGGATATAGATTAAATATGTGATTTTAAATGTTTTTTCAGGTTTTGTTGCCATTGTAAAGTTATGGAGAATAAAAAGATCACTACTTGATGTTGCTTGTAGTTCCATCTTAGCAATAATGGATTTTTATGACTTGTCCATTTTCAATACCTAATGATCATTTTCTTGTTTTGTTGAACAGATCTGCTGAATTTTGTGCATGGCTTGCTGCTTCATTGAGGAATTCGTTTTATATATTTAACTTTATTGAGTTGGGAAACTCAATAGATTCCTTCAATGCAAGGGCAGAGAGGTACAATTGGTTCCATGTCTGAAACCTTAGAATTTGATTGTGGATCTACATCGAGTAATGCTGCTGTGGATCAGTCTATTTGCTGGAATAATGTGCGGAATCCTGCAGAAAATCAAATACCTGAATATATACTTTCTCCCAGTGATATAAACCCATCTTATGTGAATCCTATAAACCATGAATGGCAAAATTTGAGTGGATGGAGCTTAGGGGAGCCTAGCTCTAGTAATGCACCAAATGAGATTAACAATAACGAGCAAAAAAGAGAACTTGGATGGTCATCATCCATTAGTTCTGGTGCATTAATTGGTCCAAGACTAGAAGAAAGGCGCCTTGAACCAACCAATGTTCTTTCACTGGACAACACCAGTACAGGTCCTATGTATATGCGGAGCTCCAATTCTCATTTAATGTCCCAGAATCTCAACTTAAATGCAGGTTTGGCAGACAGTGGCAGTGATAATAGTCAACAACTGGAGCACCCTAACTTGCGTAAGTCCAGTCTATCAGTGAATGAGTCTGCTCCATCCAATATTGGCTCTGGTTCTTTTTTGCTTCCTTCTAGAAATAATGGCTTCTTAGAAGATACTGATGGTAGGCCAGGTTGTTCAGTGGACACTCACCGTGTATCCTGTAAAAGAAAAGCTGTGGATGGAAATGCTGGCCAATCTTCAGATGGTGGAAGTTCTAGCTACAGTCAGCATACAGATGGTAGTGCTTGGCACTCTATCCCTACTCAGGGTAATGCTGGGTACATTTCAAGCAGATCTATTTCCTCAGAACAGGTAAACGCGAGACTTGGCCTGGCTATGGGCGATGAAGCCTCTGAAAGTGTTCCTGATTCAAACATTGCAGGAAACTCAGAAAGCTTCCACAGGAATTTCCGTCTGAGGATAAATCCTTCAAACCAACAAAATTTCATTCCTCCTACTGCATTCGCAACTGGGAGCATGATTCGGCATTCTGGTGCTTCTTCTTCTCAGGTGTCACAAAGGTTTCATCCTGTCGATAATTCTCTGAACCTGAGGTCAGTACCACCAATAGATAATATGATTCCTCACAGCCAGCCGCTCGTAATCCATGTTCCTGCTTTGCCAAGGAATAGGCAATCATTTAGATGGAGTGGTGGTTCTAGCTCCAGAAATATCCATTCATCAAATTCAGCCATATGTCCGGACAGGGATAATCTACCACAGGAGAATTCAAGCTCAAGAAGTATGTCCAGAAATATTTTAGAACACCCAGTGTTTGTACCTGCAACTGATTTAAGAAATTTGGTTCAAAATCCAACAATTAGAGCTTCAAGTTCAAGTAGTGCAAATTTAAATATTCCAGGAAATGTTGCTTCTTCTTTGCGGATTGGATCCAATCCAGCTGTCAATCCCTCATCTGCCTCAACTTGGGTTTCTCGTCCTAATCCTCCGCAGCATCCTCGGAGGTTATCTGAATATGTTCGCCGGTCCTTGTTTTCTCCTGGTTCTGAGGCTACTGGCGGTTCGAGCAATAATTATTCTTCATTGCGCTCTGGTCCTTCTACATCTGAATCGAGGTTGTTATCATCTGGGGCACACCCAAGATCATCTTCATGGTTGGAGAGGCAGGGAGATAGTGACTTTGGAATTCCCTATTCATTACGTACTTTGGCTGTTGCAAGTGAAGGAAGTAGTAGACTTGTATCTGAGGTTTGTATACTGCTGTTTTGTCTCTTGCATTTCAATAATCTTCTTAGTTTTTACTGCTGGGAAATATTGTTGCTTTAGTGATTGTATCTAGTGTTTGGACGCATCTAAGTGATCAGCACCATTATTTTTTAAATTTAAATATTTGTTCTAGAAATTGTTTTAAGTGGAAACTCACCGATTAAAAGATTGTAGCTTCAATTCCAACACATTTGGTTTACATCTTATGTTATCCCATCGAGTTAAGACTACGTGATTACTGTAATTCAGCCTCTAGTTGTTATTTCTTGTGAACTTTTCTGATCTTTCTTTTCCGTATTTTCAAAAGCCATGAACTTAGGCTTCAAGTTTATTTAAGGCAAACTCCTGGCTGAATGAGGTAGGGTTTTGAATATAACTGTTAGTATTGATTTCCGGTAAGCAAAATTAGTCTGGTAGCAAATTTGATTAGACTTCTCTCCAAAGGTTGCTTGCTCTTGCTCAATCATCACTCTAGGTTTGATTGCATCACTTTGGCTCTCACAATCTAGTCCTAATCCCTCGAGGGTTTTAAACCTCAATAACTTAGCTTATAAGTGAAATCTAAATAATGAAATTATGTTCATAAATATCCCAAATAATCTAATACCAGAGATCACACTATACTAAAAAATACTCCTAATACCGTGATTAATGAGGAATAAATATTTAAGTAACTAGTCAACCGCTATATACAACTTGTTATCATAATTGAACTAGTCCCTTGAAGAAAAAGGTAGATTTAGTTTTGTTTTTAATCTTTACGACAACGTCCTCTTGCTGCCTTCTACAGACAATATCTGAGCTCTTGGTTATCATAATACTCTTGAAAGTTGCAGTATTTTATCTCCTTTTATGAATAATTGTTCCATTGGAAATGACATTTTTTTTCTTGGTGCAGCTTCGCAATGTTTTGGGCCTTATGCGAAGGGGTGGGAACCTGCGATTCGAGGTTAGTTATTCAAAATTATTGGTGTATGCTGACAAAGGGTAGATGTTGAGTTGAATAAAGCTTTCATTGCCTCTCTCTGTCTGATTTACTAAATAGTGCTATAATGGCTTCGAAGCCGGTTCAAATCCTGTTCAGCTCTAATGCAAAAGATATGATTACTTGTCCTGTTGAGCAGCAAAGGTTGAGTTTTAAGTTGGCCCTAACAAGCTTGCCAATAATGTTGATTTATTTGTAATTCTCATTGGGCATACACTTGGATTCCCAAGGGTATATATTGTTCAATCATACAAACATAGGTTGTGTCGTCGTGAGCAATGAAGTCCTAAAGAAATACGCACCAGACAAAACTTCTAGCAATTGTCTGCCACCTCCTGGAGGAGGAAACTCCAGTACGTGAAGTCTAATGTCAAAACCATGAGAAAGATTTGCAAGGCAATCAACTACCCGGTTCTATTCCCATGCCATTATCACACGCACACTCCAACAATTGGCCAACAAACCCCTAATCTTGTTATCCAACACAGTGTGAGGATGTGAAGGACTGCGGCCCTTGTTCTTTTTCAAGGAATTTACCTTTTGTACTAGGGTTAGAGACCTAGGAGATCCAAAACACTACAAACACCCAATGGTGACTGTCTTCTGGTTAGCTCATTGCATCTACCCTGATACAAATTGCTTAGGGTGGCCTTGAAAGTTCTTATCTTCTGTGGTTTTTAGTTTGGATTTGGGAAACTGCTTCTGTAACCAACATGACATCCCCTTCCTAAAAGCTTTCTTTTCCCTTTTGAAGAAAAAAACTCATAATTCGAAGTTAGTTAAATATATGAATTTTTATCTGATCATAATCTCATTTAGGTTGGCTGTTTACTGTTTGTCTTTATATTTATACCTTGTTCATGAACTGTGGTCTAAGACCTGTGCTTTCATTTTGTGACAGGATGTTATGATCCTTGATCAGACTGTATTTTCTGGAATGGCTGATATTCATGATCGACACAGGGATATGAGACTTGATGTTGATAACATGTCTTATGAGGTAATAATAATAAATCGATACACTTTAGTGTCAGTTTATCCCTTGCTTATACTTCAAGTTGATGCTTCATTTTAGAGAGTTTCTTATTATGTATAATTTATGACTATAATAATAGGAGCTATTGGCTCTGGAAGAGCGCATTGGAAATGTGAGTACTGGATTGAGTGAGGAAACCGTATTGAAACTTTTGAAACAGAAAAAGTATTCAATTGAAACGGAATCTCAGCTTGATGCAGAGCCCTGTTGTGTTTGTCAGGTAAACCTGACTTGCTGACTTCTCTATATCCCCTTACATGCATGTGTACAAGGGTCTTATCCCTTGATTATGTTGTCTGCAGGAGAATTACGGTGATGGAGATGATATCGGAACGCTTGATTGTGGCCATGATTACCATAGCAACTGTATTAAACAGTGGCTAATGCATAAGAACCTGTGTCCTATTTGTAAGACAACGGGTTTGACAACATGAGATTTGTCACTTGATTCTCCGGCAAATATGAAGATGAAGAAAAATGACACAATTTACCCAGGAAATTCGGGTTAATTGAAGCAGAATCCCCTGGTGCTTTGCTGCCTTGTCATACCTTGTTTTCTATGTGTAGCCTAGTAAATTGCCGTACCTGCCTGAAAAAGGTCTCCCCAACCCTTGGCTCCCCCGAATAACATTTTGTTTATTTATCTAAAGCCAATGATCTCCCGGTTTAGGTGACGGATGAAGTGGATGGAGGTGCAACTCTTAACTGCTGCAGTTGACAAGGCTTGGTTTACATTTATGAAAAAAATTTACATTGCTCATAGTGCTCTGATTGGATTTATGACTTAAAAGGAAAACTTGGTATAAGAATATTATTCAAATGTAAGTTACTGGATTTTACATATTTGGGTCCTGTTATGAACTATGATGTTATGACCAAACTAAGCTCCCGCATTTGCTATTCCTTGGTTTTGTTAGTGTACGAATATTAGAGGGTGGAGTTCCCTTGGCTTGCTTAGGTTTCTCAACATAATTCTGCCATAGAAAATGAAAATTTAATTCCTACGTCAACAAAACGTGGGCAACATCAGCTGACGCAACAGTGAAGTGGTAACCTTGCTGGCATGTTTAAAATAAATTCATATTGCCTAAATAAACTAGAATCCAATTTCTAATGAAAAAATTTTAAATTGATTATGAATAGGGTTTAGATTAAAAAGACTCATTTCGGACTTCTGAGTAGTGAGCACCACCAGTACCTTGTAGCCTCTCTTCTCGTGTACATTCCATTTTCAAAGTTGCCGCTGCTTTCTTTGCCCTCGACAAAGATCCTAATTCCCAATGGTCATGGCATAATGGTTGTTAAAATTTCACTTCAAGAAGTAAAATCTTGTTGCTTTTAAGCTTAATCCAAAAAAAAGTAAAATCTTAAAATTTTAAAAATATTTTAATTTATGCTTTAAAGCATAAGATCATTAAAATTTTAGTTTTATGCTTAGTTAAATTAGCTTATCTTGATAATTTTTTTTTTAAATGATTATTTTCAGAAAAAAAACCCCAAATCAAACATATAATTTATTATATGCTTTAATTATTTTTTTTTGATATAATAATGGCACTCGGGTTTGAACGTATAACCTTATAAACTTGACCAATTCTAGTCTTCTTTAATGCTTTTTCATTTGCAATGTAAACGGATTAAATTGTGAACTAGTTTGACTTTTTACCATTCAATCTATCATGTTACCCTTTCTTTCTATTTCTAAACTTCTAATCCACGCTACCCTTTCTTTCTTTAATGTTTTATGTAATTTTTTTTTTCTTTTATCATGTTTACCCTTCACGCAAATGTTTCAAAAAAGTTAATTACATGATTAATGTGTATAAGTAATGTTATCTATAATTCTAAGTTAAGATGAAATGCTTCCCTCATTTGTGTATTTAATTTATTTTTTAAAAATAATTCTTGCTAATCGTTTAAACACAAATATAAAAATTACAAATACATCTTAAAAACTTAAGACAATCAAACAGACTAAAATTATAATTTTCAGGATTTTTCGTTGAGAAAATATAATTATAAATAATTTGAAGAGGATCGGATTTTTATTGGTTTTTCTTTTTAGAAAAAATTTATCTAATTATCTTAAATTTTTTGACATATATTTTTAATTAAAAATATTTATTTAAAAAACAACACATACAAGCAGAGCCTTATTTATAACTTGTAAGACTTAATTAGTAGATAAAATATGTCATAATTAATACTAAATTACTAAATGATATATAGATTTAGCAATCATTAATAAAAAATTAGGACAATAAATTTTCAATATCTATTATTTGTTATGAAAATACGTATGTTTTGATAAAATAATTAAATTGTTAACTGTTCTGTCAACAAATATTAGTTTTGCCTTTTTTCATTAAAAAAATGGTTTATTTTTTTTAAAAAAATTTAAATCCATAAAGCATTATTCCATCAGAATATTGCATTGCATGAATATTGATTGATATTGTACAACCGAATTACAAAGAGAATTGCAAGGTCATTAAAAAAACTCAATCCGTAATTTTGTTTTTATACTTTGGTTGGCTTTCTTTCAGCCCAAATAGACCAAATAATTAAGACCTTAAATCATTTTCAGATATGATTTTTGTAATCCCGTCAAATTTAAAAATGTTAAATTTATTATTATTTATTATGATTTGATAAGTTTTTTTTTTATATTTTAAAAAGTTCAAAATTTTTATATTATATAGTTTGAAATTCTTTCGTAATAATCAGACTATTTCTGGAATAACACTAAAATTCAAACAATGATACAATACGATATCATTTATCCAATTTAAATAATAATAAATATTTAAATTATTTTATTGAAAATTCAAGTGTGAGTAGTGAGCTTCTACCTTTATTAGAAATTAATTAATTGACAATACAAGTGGAAGGATCCATAAACTCACTTGTTATAAAGAGTTTGTATCTTAGCTCATATAGATCTTCTGTTGCCATAGGCTCCCCGTTGCATTAATGCATGACACATTCGAGTAAGGAAAAAAAAAGCAATAATTATATCTAATACAATCATTAAGAATCCTTAAAAATTCAAAAATATTAAATTTATTACTAATTATTTAATCTTGAATTATAAATGTGATTAGAAGTGGTGATTTGGAAAAGAAAGATTTGAAACTTGGTAAACACAACAAGGAGAAAGGAAAGAAATTGGATGGACTTTAAAAAAAGAGAGAGAGACCTTTTATGACTTTTTTTTAGAACGATTTATTTTTAAAGTTAGGAGGGCATATTGGATTAGGATTTTAAAAAAAATTGAGATAAAAATTCTTATAGATTTTAAAAGACTATTTAGATTTGGAAGGAGTTTAAAGATATTTTAAAAAGACTTTTTTACAATCCAAATTTCATAAGATTGGATTTTAAATGATTTTAATAGAGTTTATAAGGTTTGAAAGGACAATATGAATTTATAAGATTTTAAAAAATCATATGAATTTTTAACAAACATTTAAAAGTACAGGAGTCAATAAACAAAATAACAAAGAAATACAATGATATTAATAAAAGACTTTAATGTTTCTAAAGTGAATGTAGATAAGTTATTTACATTCGCTCCCAAAACGACGTCGTTTTGGGTTGAAAAATTAAAAAATTATAATGAAAAATATTATTATAACCCTGAAATAAATTATAATTGCAAAAATACCTTGATTTCCGTCCCAAAACGACGTCGTTTTGGGCTCACTGTAGATAAGTTATCTACATTGACTGTAGAAAAAGCGAACCCTTAATAAAAATAAGTAAAACCTCATATAATTTTCTCAATTAGTAAAACATAATATAATTTTTAACAAACATTCAAAATTATTAAGCACCAACTCTCTACATATCTAAAGCTATACTAGTCCTCCATACATTAGCATTTTCTCATTCTTGCTTTTGGGTTTGACCAATGGGTTAAAAATTATCTTCTTCATTTGGTATCATAGCTATGTATATATGATTATAAGACCCAATTTTTTTATTTATTAAAGTAATTCTAAATTTGCATATAGAACCTAAAGTACATAATAAATTTTCGTTTGAAATTTTTTGTAATTGATCTTGGAAACCTTGAGATTTTTGTTCTACGTGATAAGAGTTTTCTAACCATATATCATATGCATGTTTTCATTGAGTATTCTAAAAAAAAATTGAATCTAAATTTCTGGGATTTATTACATGAAAGTTTAAAAAATTTCTCAAATTATTTTCAATCGATATATTGAAACCTTGAGGCTTTTGAAAAACAAGTTTTTAGTTATCTATTGACACAAAATTTGTTTGAAATCGTTTCCTATAGTGAAGGAATTTCGTTCATGAATGTATTGTTACGAAATATAGAGTTTAAGTTTGAAAAATGTAATTTCGTTCATAAACCATAAAATTTGGTTTGAGGGTTTTAGTTCCCTGTTGTTTTCTCACTGTTTTATGTTATTTTAAATACAAAAATCACACCTTTTTGCGACAAGAAAAATTGTGACACATAGTTGGAAAAATTATTTTTTAAACTTCCAAAAGCTCTCAAAAAATCTGCTATTTTTTAGATGGATTATATTAGAATCTTGTTCGTTTGTTGTTTCTAGGTTGATTTGTGATGAAAATCGCTCAAAAATATGTTATTTTTGAGCTTTGACGAAGCTCCCATGGCATAACTCTGTTTCGCGAAGGTCAACCCGCCAAAGGAAAAAGAAGACACTACAATATAAAAATCTGAAGAAATCCTAAGGGTTAGGGTGAGATTGTGAGTGAAGCATATTTTTCACTAAAAAGTCTCAGGAAATCCACACCAATAGAAAATTCATTAAAATTGTTAGATTTTTGAATTCCACAAGATTGTTTTTCCTTTGTTTAAAATCCTAATTGAATACCAACTGATTTCGATGAACTTTAAAATAGTCTTTTTAAAATCTTAATCGAATACCAGTTGATACAACTATCTCACTTTTTTTCAATCCTTTAAAATTCTAATTGAATATTAATAGATTTTTTTATCCAAAAATAATCCATTAAAATCCTTTAAAATTCCAATCCAATACACCCTCCTTAAAGTTACTTTATGTTTGGATGAAATACATAAGTATTTTTGAATAAAATTTTTTTTGGATGTTAAAATTAATAAGCACTTTTTATATATAAAATTAGGGTTCATCTAATCTCATGTTATATGAGAGAAGATTTCTCATGTTGTAGGCACACATGTGGTGGACCCATTATTTAAAAAAGAAAAGAAAAAAGAGTGTCATAATTTTTGATGGGTCTATTGGAGATAAAACTACTCTTATGTTGCACAAGAGTAATTTTTCTCATAAAATTATTAGAGAGGATATATAACTGTAAGTAATTGCAGTGGTGATAATGGAATGGAGTATCTGGAGTGGAGTTGAGATAAAATTAAATTTTTAAAAAATCATTTTTCTTTTGGCTCCTACTTTTTTAAGAAACGAAGAATCCTAATTTCTGAAAAAATATTGTTTTAACTTTTTTTTTTAAATTCTATTTTTTTAAAATGTTGTATCCAAACTTACGTAGCACCGATACCCGACACGGGACACGTGACACGATACGACACGACACGACACTTCTACACATTTTGATATTAAATAGTATTTTTAATTTATGTAGTGTATATTATATTTAATATTCAATAATGTAACAACAAAATGAAACTAGACTTATAATATTCATCAATATTGCAAAGAAACATTTATATTAAACTCAATAAAATGGTAATCGTAATCCAACGAATCTAATAGTTGAAACTAAAAACTTAACGTAATGCAACCTTTAAACTTTTTTTTGAAATTATATAATGAGTGTTGGAGAGTGTCGGAGTATCGGAGAGTGTCAAAAAATGTCGAACACGACACGTTAGGATTTTTGAAGTGTCGGTGCTTCGTA